CTCCTCTCCCTTTGAAACACCAGCCGAATCAGCTGAATTGAAGCTGTTAACCGTCTTTTCGCGCCTTTCTCTGCTTCTGATTGGCTATTACCGGCCTTTTGCTGACCTGCTCTTCTCTGCTTCTGATTGGCTAGAAGTCCTTAACTAGGAACTGCACATGTGCAACTCCCAACAAAGATCATTTAGAGACAAGATGTATCACTCCATAGCTAAAACGAAGCCTTCCACACACAGGGTGAAAAGAGGAGCTGCAGCAATGTGCAGTATGACAAAAAATATGGTGCTTTTTGAAAATTAAACCATGTAAACCTGTTCTGGTACAACCCCTAAATAGGATTTTGAACCTGAAAATGAGCATAATACCACCTCTTTAAGATCCTTATAATTGAAATGTCTTAATGTACATCATAGGGGCAACTGATTACAATAACAACTTACATCGACATGTCTGTTTTTGTGCTACACAGGAGCAAACACATGTATATTATAGGCAGCCAAACTCCATGCCTCCACCATGCACACAGTAATATGAACTGACCACAGACTAAATGATGAGGTAATCAGTATCCCATGTTGATTTCATTGGGCCTCTAGTCATCATGAAGATGGAGAAAAGTGTATATCTCCATGGCTAATGAAACCCTGGGGATTTCAGGGTTTAGGGTTCATAAAGTATTTATGGTATGTTCATTAAGTATTGATTAAGCCATTAGAGAGCGTTTAGACACCCGGACAATCATTATGAAAGATTAGGACTTGGCTTGAGGAAGAGGAAGATGGAGGAAGGCAGAAATGTGGAGAGATAAAGAGGTTTGGTTAGGGATGAATGGAAATGAAGAATACAGATGAGGATGGTGTGAAGAGGAACATGCAAGACACTGAAGGGGGAAAAGAGTGTGGAGAAAAGAGGGAAATAAAGGAGGAGGGAAAATCTGTTCTTTAAATATTAATTAAGCATTCAGATAGCATTTTAGACAGTAAGGCAACCATTATAGGAGATTAGGTTTTAATCTGAGGAAGGGGAGCGATTAGGGAAAAGAGGAAAGGACAGGAGGAGGAGGGCGAGTTTGAGAAAAGAGGAAGTTGAGGATAGAGAGGAGGTGCGCGGAAGGAGGGTAAAGGAGAGGGAAGAATAGATGGATTAAAAGAGGAAATGAACAGGATTATGTGTAAAACAAGCTTGAAAGGTAAGAGGAAGGAGTCAACATTTAATGAATAGAAAGTCTAATTTCCCTAATCATATACTGCTTCTTAGGAAAGTTCTCTGCTAGTTGTTTTCAGCGCAATTCTCAGCCTATGTCTTCACTTCATTTTACCTCATCTTTTCATCCATCCATTTTCAATACCCGCTCATTCCTGTTCCGGGTTGTGATGTGTCACTTGCGAGGTGAAGTGTTGCTATTTGAGATGCAAGCGAGATTGCAAAGAAATGTGACATTCAAGTACTGTCTCACCTCATATTCATCCATCTAGCATACAGACCCAGCCGGTGTTTTTCACAGGTATTTAGCCATTGCTTTGCCCTCTCTTTGCCCTCTAGCTCTTCAGCAGGTGTTGTTGCATTGCAGGGTAACCAGGAAGTAGCATGATAAGAGGTGCAGACCTGCTATAATGATGCAGCAATGAGGTTTAATGGGGCTGAAAACGCAGGCTGACTGGCTGGCAGGCAGGCAGGCAGGCTACACAGTCAGGGAGAAGCACAGTTGGTGTGAAGCTGTTTCCAGCTCATGACAGATGTTGCTGAGAGTGAGAAAGAGAGAGAGAGTGTGAGGGAGAGAGACAAAGAGACAGAGGGACAAAGAGACAGAAGGGGGGGAGAGAGGTGAGTCATTTGCAACATGCAGAGTGAGAGATCACTGGGAAGTAACTTTGTGAAAACAGCAACTTTAAGCAAAGTCAAGCAGAGTTTATTCACATGTGGGTGCTCCACAGCACTTTAGTTTATATCCCAGAAGTACTTGTGCAAATAAATGTGTTTTACAGCCAACTGTTTCTAGAGGTGGTGTAGTGAAGGGTAATGTGATTTCAGTAACCCACCATGTTACCCCTGTTGATTTTGTGCCCATCTCATGCTTGATTTTCCTGGATTCAGACAATATAAATGATACAAAGAAAACTAAGGATTTCCAGGCAGGCACATACATGAATTATAAACAGCAACTGGAGGCAGAATCCCTCTTGTTCGCACAAATCTGCATTCATTCTCCTTGTTACAGTAACTGTAAACTGTACGGAAAATGCTGACCCACTTTTTGCTGAAAATGGGAAAACTACTGTGAGATTTTGTTGAAGACATATTGTTTTTGGATGAAATTAGCTTGTAACCGCATTGGCCACAGGGATAGGACATCTTCTGTTTTACCATTTAATCTGACAGAATTCTGTCGGTGATGCCTCCATAGATCGCCAGAGGAAATTCTGCTACACACAGAGTACCTGTGGATTGAAAATAGAGAATCCTTTGTGTCTAGATGAGCATATTATTGTTGATAATGACAGCGTCCACAGCCACAGTTAGAGTTTAAAGCACAGTGGAGCATAGCTTCAGGTGTGCTCTGGAGCTAATTTGTTTGAATGACAGAAACTCAAAGACTTGTAACTTTAAACAGTGTGACATAGCGATGGATGTGTTTAAGTTTCTCCAGTGATTTCTCCACTGAATTCCTGTAACTTGGATGTGCAAAGGTACCTTCATTAGCCTTAGCCCTATTGGCTTAAGACAGTGTTTCATTGCTGGATCTTCTCTTGTGTATTCACAGTTTTGTAAACCTTAAAGTTCTCCTTTTCATTGTAAAGGTTTATCACAGCAACTGGGTATATAAATTCTCTGTTTGTCAACCCAGGTCTTATTAAGATGCCGTTTCCCATCATTTTTTGATTGTGAATATCACAGTCTCACTGAACTTTTAATCACTGTGTTGCAATTTATCACTGGGCATAAACATGGTACCATGAGGCATTTGTTTGGTCTTTCGCAAAACCAGAATGTATCTTGATTTCATAAACAAAACAAAAAAATCACTGTATATTTTAATATGGTCTGTGTTGTAAAGAATATTGTTTACCAAGGTCTGAGGCAAGTAGAAGGCCTTGATAAGCTCAGTGATGTAACTCTTTAACGAAGATGAAATGACAGGCTCCTCAGCTATTACATATGACTCTATGCCTTTGATATTGCCGCTTCCACCTGTCATAAATGCACGCACACAAAAGCATGCATGCACATGTAAAACATTACATTCAAAGCCAGTTGCCCTGTGTGGGAAGACAACTGTGCCACTCTGTGTATTGGACAATCTGCCAAAGGAAAATCCCTGCTGACGAAGTGAGATAATTAGACTCAGGGAGAAAGGTAAAATATTTCAGACTTCTTCACTGGAGCTGTTCTGCTTATTCTGAGTCACTGATTACATATATGGATTTGGTCACAGTCAGCCAGACTTGGAACTCACACTCAAACAGTGTCTGGTTCATGCAAAGGAAAATCCTCCATGGATAAAGGAAATATTTATGCTCAAAATGAGTCACATAGGGCAGCTTTTTTTGTCACAAATTCACATAAGTATTCACCCACCATCACACACATACACACACACACACACACTCACACACACACACGCACACACACACACAAATATCGTTGTTCACCATAGTACTAAAGTGAAACTAAGCATTCTTGATTCTTACCATTTAGTGTGAAGTGTACAGCATATTCATTTTTCCACAGCAGTGGAATTAAATGTGCGGTGTCCCGTTCCAGCAATGCGCAGTAGTCAATGTCAGTGTGTTACTGCTGCTTGGGTATGTGCACGAGAGATGAGAGGGATAGAACAGATGTGAGACACTACTGTTTACTACGAACAACTTTCTGATATAATGTGTCGGAGGCTTTCCAGGGACTTCTGAGCACTCATCGTAATACTATGTATTGTGAATAAAAAATCTGAGTGTTGGACTCCTTCAAGAGGTCTTGTATTAAGAGTTATGTCCGAAGCCATAGTGCATACATGAGCATCTTTACGTCACAGAGAGGTACATCCAACACAGCTATAAACTCTCATGAAGCATTGAAACATCACACAACCTTTTACAGCATTTGCAGAGGCATTCTGGGGAACTATGTATCCAAATAGTTTTATGGAAGTATAAAGTTATGTTTTGAAATCATGTAGTTATTATTTATTGAAATTGTGTTGCACACATTTTTTCCATCTGTCTTTAAAACCAGCACTGTAGTTATACCGCACACCCACATGCACAGACAAGCTTTGGTCTCCTGTAGAGAATCATTTTAATGGAGTGCTGCTAATCAGAACAAAATAATTGAAGTATACTAGTCTAACTAACTGAGAGGCACATTAGAAGGATGGTTTCTCATTCCTGTGAAAAGATTTAATGCACTCAAGGAACATCTATGAATCCTGAGGGGGTTTCCTTATTGCTTCAGGGGTTCTGAACGTAGAAACGGTGCTCTGCCTTTTCAATGAAATGTTTATTCCTCTTTTGAGGAGAGTTTGCCACTTGAGTTGAAGTCACAGATGTTTTGCAGTAGGATTTAAGTCATAAATATGGAAATAAAGAACTTGAATGGCACTGCCTTAACCTTTAATGTATTTACTGCTGCAAAACCAGCTTTTAGTGGATGGTCATATTAAACTCCTATTTCTCTCTCTTCTTCTTTTGAGCATTTTACAAACTTAACAGAAGTGCAAAGTCTAGCTTCATCGTGCTGAAATGAGGATCTATCCAACATCTGAATTGTTCACCAGCCAGTCCATTTTCAAATTTTCTTTAAGGAGAACGTGTGTTTATTGTGAGACCCAATACCACTGATTGTTTTCAAGGTTTCAGAGAAGCATTTTCCATCAATGCCCAAGTCTCTTGGACTAAACTAACACTTTTCTTTTCATTTCTTTTCTGGCTGGCATTGAAACTTATGTGTATACAAGACAAAATGAAGTGACGATAAGTATTTCCACATCTTCTGTCCCACCCGACAGCAACAGGAACAGGACCCCACCAACCTTTACATCTCGAACCTACCGCTGTCCATGGATGAGCAGGAGCTGGAGAACATGCTGAAGCCCTTTGGTCATGTCATTTCCACACGGATACTAAGGGACGCCAATGGCCTGAGCAGAGGAGTCGGCTTTGCTAGGTATGCACTAGGAGAGAACCACACATGCACAAACTGTCACTTACACTTCTCCAAAATTCTTGTATTCTATACGTATCAGTATGTGAGTATGTGAGGAACTGAGGTTAGTTTTCCCTCTTACAGCTATGATTTTCTGTAGCTGCTGTCATTCCAGGGTCATGAAACAAATTTTACATATCAATTGATGGTCACATCTAAATTGATATAAATGTAGGCTTTTGCTGGACAAACTATAATTATTTAACACAAAATAATGTAGATTTATAATTATCACACTATGGTCCAGATAATTTTTTTTAGATGCATGAGGCAACATTACCCTGAGTTGACTCCCTGCCATTTACAACCAAAGGACTTCTAGCCACACCACATTCCTGTTGCCTTGGCCCTGTCAACCTCGCCTGTGTGTGTGTGTGTGTGTGTGTGTGTGTGTTGTATCTCTGTGTGTGGTCTTCTCAGTTGCACCGTGGAGTGTGCCAGTGATTAGAATGCAGTCATGTCTCCATTCAGGGTCACTGGCTATGTGAAGAAAACCCAAGACACACACAGAGGCATGCATGCTCACATGCCGCACACACACACACACACACACACACACACACACACACACTCTCTCTTTCTCACCCACACATTGGCTTTTGCTTGCCAAGCAGGCAATTAGTCATTGAGCTGTGATTGGGTGAGCAGAGCTGAATAGGGGCAGACAAAGAGGACATGACACACAACAGATCAGACTGAATGAAGCTTTTAAACCGGGACAAAGGAGAGGAAACCCCATAGAAAACACACAAACACTCTCAAGCACAGGCCCACCTAAGGTATTTTGCTCTGGCGTACATAGACAAACAAGCACAGATGCATACACAGAGCATTTACACACTTTTTAAGAACCACAGCACCTTTTGTGCATATTGAACAGTGACATAAGGAGACTATTGTGCTCAAGTAGCACCTCTTTCTTTCTCTCTCTCTGTCAGGATGGAGTCGACAGAGAAGTGTGATGTGGTGATTCAAAATTTCAACGGGAAATTCTTGAAAACCCCTCCGGGCATGACAGGTAGGTGCCGATTATAAAGACAACTGCTTTATACTTGCTAAACTTGTGCTTTTCTGTAGTGAGAGCAAGGTATTCCTCTATAGGTCAAGATGCTCATATAGATGCAGTGCACTATGTGGCATCATACACTCAACGTTCCTACACACAACACATTTTTTGCTGCACTAGGCCCCATCCACACTAGCGTTTTAGCTGCGTGTCAGAATTGATCTCTGTCTATATTAAAACAACTGAAAACCCACATCCAGTGGCCATTCAGGTACACTGGGCATGCGCATGCCGGTGTAAAAAGCAAGCAGATGGTCTACTCCACAGTTGCAGAAGATTTGGCGAAAGAATAAAGTAATACAGATGAAGAACCACACCAGATATTGTTTTTATGCATTGGCCAATAACAAGCTGGGACTATTACTGAATGTAACATGGGAGTTAAAAGTGACGCGACTATAGCAGCGGAAAACAGACTTGGAGTCACTGCAAAGTAAACGGCGACATGCACAGTCCAAGTGTAGGCTATAAGTGTTATTTGCATGGTACAAAATATTTTAATAAAAATACCAAATCAAAAACTCTCGGAAGCATTATTTTTCTGCTGTGCATGACTTATGAGAGCCAAACGTGAGCATCTGTGTTATCGTTTCTAAAGTCCTCCGGTTTTGCCCGTCCACACTAAAACACTACCAGGAGTTTTATGTCCCAACTTTTAAACTTGACAATGAAACCTGACAATGTCTTTACACATTTCACTTTATTTTATAGGATTTTAATGGATGCTGTAGAGAAACCAGCCGTGATTTCAGACTAGTAGACAAATGTGTATTGTGCGACATATTTATCTCTTTTTTCTGTGGTAAAAAAACACACTGGCGGTCTCATTTAGTATGTTTATATAGACTTTTACTGCCCACCGATCATTTTCATGAATGAGCCACATGCTTTATAAGTTGCGGTCATCTCTGCCTTTTGGTGTTACAACATCTGTCTGTGTACAAGGCAGTGTCAGTGAGACTGATAATATATCAGCATCATCTCTGCGGCTCTCTTTCTCTCTCCCACTCTCTGTCCCACTCCTTAGACCACCTTGAATTGATTTAGTAGGAAGATCTGAGTGAATAATTCCCTGACTGTACAGGACACAGATGTAGATGATGCACACATGCATGATGTACATGTACATACACAGACAGACCCCTAAAGCAAACAAGCTGTGTCTGATTGTCCCCCTAATTGTCAGCAATGTCTTATTACTTTTTAACACAGGGGGCAAGAGAGAACGGGACGGATGGGGTGTAGGAGGAGAGATAAAGGGAGGGAGAAAGGATGGGAGGAGAGGAGATGCAATGAGGAGGAGATTGCGGATGTCGTCACTGGTTTTGAATAAACGATGAGGCGTGTGTGGGTGTGAGAGAGAATTTCATATATACATAGACAGCGAGAGAGATACATGAGTAAGATAACAGAACAAGGACAAGGTGGGAGAAAAGAGAAAGTTGAGGTGGGGAGAACCAAACTGATGACACAGAATGAGAGAAAAGAGGTGGAAAAGAGATGGAGATACTGAATGAGCAGATATAGGTGGAAAGAAAGGAGGTGTGCAACACTGAAGAAAATGGAAATCAAGGACAGACAGAGAGAGCTGTGCCCCGTGCCCTGACAGTATGATTTGTGAGGTACAGCATGGTGGGCGGCTCAGTGTCTCACCCAGACACACACACACACACACACACTTCCACAGTATATAAGTATAGCTGTGAAATTGAGTAGCAAGTAAATGATGCGTCATTCCATCCATTGCTGCTGCTTTCTGCAGCCTGTGTGTGTGAGAAATACAGAATCTTAACTGCTCCTCCGAGCAAAAACCATGACTATCAGCGCAGTAAACAGTCACAAGCTTCACAGTTGTTCTAGTATGCAGGTTGACAAGCTTAATTCCATGACAAATCAGAAGAGAAAGCTATTGTGGTGCAGGTGGTGTTATATATTATAAAAGAACTCGGTGTTAAAGATTATTGTCCCAGTTCATTTGATCAAAATATATTAAGAAAGTTCCACAACAGGTTATCAAGTTAATGAAATGAAAAATGAATTAACTTTTGCACACACTTTCTGTGACAGAGCATGATATAGTTTTGAAGCTAACGGTGACTGGTGTGTACTGATTGATGTTTAACAAACTTAAAGCTGCTCTAATCAATACTGGCATATTGACAATGGATCAATACTATGTGTAATGTGAAAATGGCCAGTCATAGTGATGAACCTACAGAGAAATATCACCTTACTCTGCAGACCACCTCAGCTCTTCTGTCCTTTGTATCATCTTTCAGCTCATTGTTTTGGTCTACGGGTAACTGTTTTGGTTAAGTGTCATAGATCTCATCATAGGTGTCGCTAGAACCTTTTTACTGAGGCACGTACACCTGTATCCAATATACATGCAATGTGAAAAGGCACGTTGTTAATGATATGAAACGTCGCAAAAAACGAGTCAATGTTAAAAGAGAGTGTTTATCGTTGGTGAGAGGACAAAGCGGGACTATCCTTCTGTGCACAAGAAGAGAAAATTACTCAATAACTGTGTTCTCTTCTTTGAAAGTCCAATTTGAGCAGGTTTATGTTTAGCCTAGCTGCAGTGTGCTGCTAACCCAGCTGAGCAGCACAACTAGGTCTTTTTTTGTTTTGGTTGCTTTCCAGACTATGACTGAACTACATTATAGTGAAATACAACTTTTTATTACCTTTGATCAACGCTGACGGGCAACGATGATTATAAACTGCAGCATGGAAATGATAACTACGTCACGTGTGAACATGCGCTCATATGCGCATGCACAAAATGAAACTTGCGCCTCTGGCTGAGCGGCGCTGCCAGACTTGCATTCCAGCAGCAACATTCATGGGACCAGTCCAGATAGAACACACGTGTGATGGCACTCCTCATAGGCACACATCATTTTAAAACGAGACAGTGATTATCTGTCTCTCAGTGAAGGTTTAGTTACAACTCTGGACTAATGCAAGATGGAAAGCAATGGATTTACATTGACTATTAAAATGTTGATTAGTGGGGCAGACTGGGCAATATGGATGCACATCTCTCAGTAAATAATAAACATCCCTTATTTAGTCAAGTCAGTGTAAATTAGGGCTGGACAATAAAAGAATAGCCTAACTATAATTATCACAGTATAATTTAACAAATGTTACAATTACAATTAATATTCAATAATTGTTTGATCTTATTCATTTGAATAATGAACAAATTACCTCTTACTTTTTCTATTAAGATATTTCTTTCATTGAGAAAAAAGGGACTGAAAAAAGATTTAACTGAATTTTACTTATGCATATTTGTTGAAAAATTGTTTTGAATGTTCTGCCTCAGATTTGTGAAGTGATCCACTTTTTGGTAAGTGATTTTCATGTTCTGACCATAACGAAAAGAATACAAATAATGATTTGACATTTATCCCAATAATTATCAATATCAAATGATGTGGAATTGAAATGTGGAGCACAGTTGATTCAAATCCAGTAACAGCACAGACCCAGTCCAGACATCTTTAGCAGGTCACACAGACCCAGGTGAAATACAGGCAGACTCAGCCCGTAAAAGCACACCCAGAGATGTACAGCCAGCAGCAGTCTTAACAGACTTTATGAGGATTTTCTAGAAGAGGTTTCCATTCAGGCTTATAACAGAGACAGACTGTTTTAAAGGTAGTAGTGAGAGCAATCCAGTGCCTGGTGTGACTGTGCAGCAGTGGCAAATTGTTTACATGCTCACAGGTAACATAGCATACATAAAATAGGTATGTGTGCTTATGCTTATTATGACCAATATTAATGGGCTAAGCAAGGGAAGCTGGTAAGGCACATACTAACACATTTCATACAAAAATAAATCCAAAATTTACATGAGGGATATGAGGGCCTGTGCCCCAGTAGAGCTTTATGTCTAGCAACGGCCCTGGCTGTCATCATTGTCATTTCCCGCTGCAGCAGGCAGCAATTTTCAGTGACAAGGCGCTGAAAACCCACTATACGCTACCTGCCCAGCACCAAACAGCAGACAGACAAAGTTAGCTACTAGCTGATGGTTGAAGATACATCCTAGGATGTGCTGGAACACATCATCAGTGTCACAATATCATGCACCCTCACTCAGGCAACCCAGCCAGGGTTGATACCCTGGCTTGTGTCCCAGCATCATTGGCCCGCAGATCCCCCTTTTTGGATCCAATGTTATCTGGACACCCTCTCTGCAGCCTCCATGGCGAAATTGATGGCTTTCCTCTTTGTAGCCCCATTGATGCCCAGTAGGGTGAAGACTTGGTACAAAGAACAGTCAGCAAACTCTGTACATCTTTTGTGACCTCACAGCGAGCCTTCCAGCCTCTTTTCTGCCCGTCCCATTGTCACCGTGCCCACCAGAACCCTGTGTTTCAGCCGAGGCTCTGCTGACCCACCTGGGCACTCCACTTCCTGCCAGTCTATACCATGATGCCTGCTGATGCCACTCTGGAGTCCAGTGCGTGAAGCTCTGAACTCCTCGTCAAGGCTCCAAAAGTTTATTTTCCCATATACTGTAGTGCTATACTGCTTAATGAACATACTATAGGTGAACATAGTGGAACATTTAGCAGCGAAAGAGCCAGATCTGTTTCTCTGAAATTATTGGAGACCAAATCAAAGCTGAAAGGAGACAGAATATTGGACTTACATTAGTCAGGTTGACAGAATCACAAATCTAAATGAAAGCTTATGTATGTAATTGATAATTAACTAATCAACTGTTTGCTACCACATTCACCATAAAAACTTTTATGCCCCCAATTAATGCAGGTTTAAACTTAAGATTGCACACACAAGCATAGATACACTCACTCTATCTATACCTGTCAAGTCATTGACCTCTATTGAAAGAAATGCATTGCCTGTCTTTGCAAGGGTTGGCCATTTCTCCTTTGAATGTACTGTATGTGTGAGAATGAGTGTAT